GTGGGCTATGAGACGCCATTGGTGGCGATGGGGAGGGTGGTGACTGTAGGGATGGTCGGGGAGCAGCAGCGAGTTGGAGGTGTGTATTGGGGCGGAGCGAACTGAGGGTGGCGGGCGTACGAGCGCCCGTACTTGCGGGCTGGCAGGCTTGCTTTGCGCAGTTCTTTGTTGAGGGATTTGTATTTGTATTTGCTCGTGGATGTTCGTTGTTTTGATATCCTTTGATGTGATTTACCGACATGTATAGTAGTTAAAGAGGGTAAAGATGATGAGAGATGATACGATTAGATAATTATTCTTTCGAGTGGTAGGACCATGGTATGTAGTTCGGCCCACGACCCTGGTGGTAATGGTTATTTGTGGAAAGTTGGACGTTCCGTGACCTCCCGTGGCTGGCGGACTGTGTTCTGTTCGAAGATTTGTGGACCCATTAGGGTTTAGTCTATATTACGAGTCCCTGTGCTGCGTGCTGTCTAGAAGTGGACAGCGAGTTCCTGTGCTGTGTTTCTCTAGTATCGGACAGCAATTCGTTATGTTGTTTTGCCCAATTTTGGTCGGATGCACAGGGGACCGGAGTCAGACTGATCATAACACGTATGGCTGTTTTGGGCAGCAATTCATTTGTGTTTAAACCACCTGTACTTCCTAGACTCGTGTCGTTAACGCGCCACGATTTTAGGAAACGTATGGGCTACTACAGGAGCGCCAAAATTCATCTGACTAGAAACGTTTCTAGTCTTTTWTAGTTTCCGCGGCCGATAGCTGGGCCAACTATTGGTGGTGCAATGGTCATCCAGCCTTATGGTATGTAAATTCCCTAYTTTTTGCGTGTCATCCAGCCTCCAGGGAGCGAATGACGGGAGCGTGATTTGGCCGAAATCGGAAACGGAAGGGGCCTGTATTCTGTTCCCCAAAAGATGACGTATTTTKTTTTTTTCTTTGGGATARTTTACAAAAKACCCCCATAAGTTGAGATATATGCCAAAATGCCCCTGAAAGATGTGGGTAGAATGTCCTTCTGGGCCGAAATCTTTGTGTTGTGCCCCTGTCACGCGGGTGTGCAACTTTGCAGTCTGGACCGCTCCGCTTGGGCCTTGGGACTTTTGCAATAGCGCCTAGGAGAAGTTGGCAATTACTGGGGCATTTTGCAAAATTGGACGGTACCCGGTGGGGTATATTTTCAAGATGGGGGTCCAACCGACGCTAGGGGCGTTTCACAACATCTTTTAGGGGCATTTTGGCGTAAATTCAACTAATGGGTATTTTGCATATTATCCTTTTTTTGGTTGGGTCCACTGGCTGTTCGGGTTTGTCTGTTGTTGTACTTCCTAAGAACGGCCGTTGCCACATACGTAAAATTTCCTACAGCAGCGGGAAGGTGGATTATGAAATTGCTTTCACGGCGGCGACGGGTAATCGAATAGTTTCCGTTTGTTTTACACTTCTACTAACAGTAAGTAGGGTGGGATAAGGCCCTGATTGTCCGAGTGTAGTCCGGTATATCAGGAATCGGGTTAAACATAGGGACAGATCCCACTAGCCCCTATTATTCATATCTGACCGTTGATCTTCGTAATCGAGGGTCAAAAATGAACAATAGGGTCTAGTGGGATCTGACCCATAGAGTAATGTACTCGATAGTAGCCGAAAATTTCTGAATCTTGTGACCGTTCATTTTTGGTTGCCCTGTGTTGTGGTGGTGGATGAAAATGGAATGTTTAGTGAGTACTCATCATTAACCATACATTTTCTCCTGGTGTAGGAGTGCGTTAATGGACGGGGTGGTCTAGGGCTTGTGGGACCTTGAGTACCCGTGGGGTAGGAGTTTATGGCCTAATGTGCACTGTTTCACGGTGTGGGCAGCAGGTGGGATGCATCCGAAGGAATCCCCTATTGTACTGGTCTTCGGAGCCAATGTGTGGAGTGTTGTGATCTCACTGCCTTTGTATTCGTCTTTCAATCCTCTTCGACTCTCATGACCTGTGTTTTGCATCCACCTTTCCCAGGCAAGCTCTGGCATATATTTCTCCCATATGATGTTTGAGTTCAGCTGCACAGTGTATATGAAGCGCCACATAAATGGGGCAGGTGCTGCAAGATCGTCAGTTGCGCTACGGTCTTCGCCTGAAGTTCTTCATAAATGGGGCAGGTGCTGCAAGATCATCAGTTGCGCTACGGTCTTCGCCTGAATAGAACGCACAGGCAGTCCCTGTATCTATCGCAACTTGGCCGAAATGCAGCTATAATGACCGGGCGGTCTATTTTGGTGAAGATGTAGTGCGCGGAAAGATCTCAGTCGCTGCGCTGTTTTTCACTCTCTTCTCGCTCCTGCATTTACGAATACAGGAAGACGGCTCTCTTTTAGAGCCAATGAGCAGGTACGTTCTAGCTGTTAAGCACGATTGCCAAGGCAAGTAGGGCATTGCGAAATGAACCCACGCGCTCCAGCTGTTCTCTGCTGTCCCCTGTTAGTTTGTTCTTTCTGCACCCGCCCCCGCGCGCAGTCGCCGAGATGCGTGTTATCTTCCCATTCTAGCTACGAGAGGTCTTGGGTAACGATCTCGTTACATACTCCTTGGCAATCGTCAAAATCTTGAAAGTCCTTACAGGCTTTTAGTATATTCGGCATCACCGTTGGACTGTTCCTAAAAACCTATTTTTACAGTCCTTCGAGAATGTTGTCAACAATTAAGGACATAAGTCTCAAGATAAACCTTGAACCTTGCAATCCGGAAGCCTAAACCTCAGGATTTATGTTGTCAGCTAATAAGGCACCACCACCATCGGATTCTTTCAGGGCGGTGCCTTGTTTTCAGATTGTAACCACGTAAGGCCTAAGGCTTTCCATAACCTAAACCTTTGATTCGTTTCAACTGACTTAAGGACTCTGCGATCGGAAAGATTTGGCTGAGTCCTAAATATTCTAGGGCGTGCCATTAGAGGTGGACCCCACTGGCCGGCGGCTGGAAATTAGTATGGCAACAAAAAATGGCCGACTGAGTCTGGAAAGCATTTGTAAGATTTGGACCCAACTGGCTGGCGGCTGGGAAAGCAGTATGGCAACAAAAAACGACTGACTGAGTCTGGAAAGCATTTGCCAGATTTCCTTGCGACCCCATCGCCGCAGCAGAAACGGGCACTGGAAATGGCACCACCTCCCCGGAAAGGATAACCAGACAGCGTCCCTTCCGAACGGTAAGTTCGGTAAGGGCTGTCCATCACAAAACGGCCCCTGAACCGTCGATTGGACCGCACTCTCATATGCTCCGACGCCATGGAGAACATGCTCCCCCCCTCCTCTAGTCAGCTGGACGCCCTGTTTGGAGAAGGAATGCCGGGACTTGGCTGCAATTTTCCAGTTCGGTAAGGGCTGTCCATCACAAAACGGCCCCTGAACCATCGATTGGACCGCACTCCCATATCCTCCGATGCCATGGACAACATGCCCCCCCCCCCTCCTCTAGTCAGCTGGACGCCCTGTTTGGAAAAGGAATGCCGGAACTTGGCTGCAATTTTCCAGACCGCTGACCGTGCGGAAATGACCTGTCAGCATTTCGGCAACCTCTTTCTAAACTAGTCGGGTCCGAAAATGCTGTGCAGAATGACTTTCCACACCCGTTTTCCACACCAGTGGGTTGTCGAAAACGCTCCGGCTAACTTTTTTCCAGGACGCCGCCCGGTGGGGTCAACCCCTTGGACCGTTTTCATTTTTAAGTTTTGAATTGACTCTTAGGAATACTCTAACAAAGCTGCATTCTCAGAGCCACGTCTTTAAGGAGTTGTGGAAACTTAGACGGTTTTCCATTCCAGGTGGGAATATGGGAAGTTAGCCCAGCCCATGGGCATGCAGTGAGTTGGACAACGGTCGTACCGCCCTGGAAAACGAGGGTTGAAGGAAGAATTGGCAAGTCGTGAGGCATGTGGTGTGCGAATTATGTGCTAGGATTGCGTGCTAGTCAACCCGGAGATTCTGTTAGTGGTGCGAGTTTGATCAGCATGATAGAATTGGTAGTCCCGAGGACTTCGATCAGCATGATAGAATTTGTAGTCCCGAGGACTTCTTTAGGGATTTTTCGTTCCTCTGACTTGCAAGTCACAGATAGATGGATGTGGAATGTGGGAAGGTTCCGTTCGCTGTAGTGTCCTGTAGGTTGGTACGAGTCTGTACGTGTCGGTGGTTTTTCTCTGTGAAAATTAATAGTTTCACCATGGTGGGAAACATGTGAAACATGGAATCGAGGTACACCGCGCACCTACTAGTCCTGGATAGGTGGCTTCTCACCTATGTCTGGCATAAGTTGACATGGTATTATTTTGACTATTGCTGGTGTGTTATTGGTTAGTGGCAAGGGTTAGTTGTTGGTTGTAGAAAATTTCGTCTCACAGGAGTTTGCCATATTTTTTTCCTGCTCCTGAGTGGATGTTGTAAGTCGAGTTGCTTTGAACTTCATGAGGTAAACAACATCTGACTGCTGCATTTAAGCAGTGGTGCTTCATTTGATTACTTTTTGTCTGGCCTGACTCTGCCAAAAATGGAATATCAAAATGACAGTGGTTAGGATCTGGGTACTGATCCTTATATAGATGCCCAGTCCTTCATGGCGGTTTTTGTCTCTCCATGTCTGTAAAAGAGTGTTGCTTTCCTGAGCAGACCATATCACACCCGAGGGGGTTTGGGAGAAATGACCGTAAGATGGAGTTTAACGTGTGCTTCCTTGACTGTCACATGCCTCCAGCGATCCAGCCAGCCATGCAGTAGTGATGTTGAATGGCGTTGATCGCCTGTCGTTGTTTCTTGTTTTTTCGTATGCAGATATGTTTCAGGGATGGTGTGCACCGTAAGACCAGGGAAGGTGTTGAACGGAAACCACGGAGGGTTGCATGTTGGCAGGTGTGCAGAAACGTCTTACCCGCCCGACGAATTTCCTGTGCATAGTGTGGGCGTGGTTCTCTGCCTCCGTTGGGCCGATTTTCTGTTTCTCCCGGAATTATACTCGCAGGCACTTTCATGACCAAGCAGTTTGCATGCACTCAGTAAGGGACTATGATAGAAACTTGCTCTCGACATCCCGTGGCTACACTGTCTGGCTGCAGCTCTCTGTGGTCTCCTTTGCATAGTTCTTGTGCATCATGAGGCGTGTTTGTGGTATGCGTGTAAGTGGCCCTTTAGGTTTGCCGGCGAGAGCGTGTCTTGGCATGGCAGGAGGATGCAAGGATGTGGATCCACACCTTTTCGAGCGCCCACGAGAGGTAACCTTGGGATACTTGGAGCAGATGTGCWAGAGATGAGAGATGATGGCACTTCCCTTTGGCTTACGGTGAGATTCTGTGATCAGCGTGGGGAGATACGTGATAGTTGCTCRTCATCCCTCAGCACTGGCATTGATGATKGTGTGAGTAGCATCTGACAATCCCGAAAGGCTCCTGCCTGTTGCGTTTTYTTCGTCGTTAGTCAGACGAGTGGTGTGGTTTGTGACGTGCAAGTGTGCATCCACCACCGTACCTTGATTGCTCTCCCGTGTCATATCGTCTGACATGCCCGAAAGGCACATGCTTGTCGTTTTTCTTACTCGTTAGTCAGACAAGTGTGGTTTCTGACGTGCAAGTGTGCGTCCACGACTTGAAATTGATTGCACTCCAGGCTCGAACCCTC